ATAACCACTAAAACGTAGCGATTGCCCGAATCAGTGATTGGAAATGGTCCAGCGATGTCTAAGGCTATTCTCTCCCAAGGCATACCAACATTGTAGATTTTCATCGCCCCCCTGCTCCTTGTTTGTGGACCCTTGACAGCTGCACAACTAGTGCATTTCCGGCACCAATCTTCGACGTCATATTTGCAATGCAACCAATAAAACCTCTCCTTGATCTTCACCAAAGTCCTCCTAATTCCCAAATGTCCTCCAGAAGATCCATCATGGAACGCTTTTAATACATCCCTTATTTTTGAACGAGGCACCACCAATTGCAAATGCTCGTCCTTGCCGTTTGTTGATTCCCATTTCCTGCACAGAAGTCCGTTATGCAGCGTAAGGCTTTTCCACTGTGCCCATAAACCTTTCGTTACCGCGCTATATTGGGCGACGTCACTCCAACTTGGCTTGTTACCACTTCGTAGCCACTCCAGTATTGGTTTAATATCTGCATCTCTTTCCTGTTCTAATTTCATCGCATCATTTCCCCATGCCTCGTCAACAGTATCAGTCCTTATCACCTTAAGAAAAGCAGTTTCCTTCTTAGCACAATGTTTGCAATCTTCCACGCATGGGCGTCTCGATAATGCATCTGCGTTGCCATGAATTCTTCCGCCGCGATGTTCGATATCAAAGTCAAATTCCTGAAGTTGTTCCAGCCATCTGGCTACTTGGCCTTCGGGATCCTTAAACTGAAGCAGCCATTTCAAAGCAGCGTGATCAGTTCTGATCAAAAATTTCCGTCCCAGTAAATACTTCTTGAAATGGTGCAGGGTTTTGACTACGGCCAGCAATTCCCTCCTGGTCACGCAATAATTCCTCTCTGGCTTGGATAGTGACTTGCTGAAGTAAGCAATAACCTTCTCCTGCTCACCATCGCGTTGTGAAAGGACACCTCCTATTCCAATATTGCTGGCATCCGTATCAACTACGAATATTCCTTTCGCGCTGGGATATCCGAGAATTGGTGTGTTACAAAGCCGTTCTTTTAGTTCTCGAAAGGCTTGCTCACAATCCTCGTCCCAAACAAAGGCACGTTTATCCTCTGTCAATCGATGCAATGGCTTGGCAATGTCCGAGAATCCTTTCACAAACCGCCGATAATACGAGCACAATCCAAGAAATGCCCGAACTTGCGTTTTGTCTTTAGGTGTTGGCCATTCCTTAACAGCGACAGTCTTGGCTGGATCAGTCTCAATTCCTCTCTCAGAAATAACATGTCCTAGATAATTCACTTCGCGCTTGAAGAAAGAGCATTTCTTTGGACTCAACTTTAAATTTGCTCCACGCAGCTTGCCGAGTACCTTTTCCAATTTCCTTAGATGATCGTCAAAATCCCGTCCAACAATGATGATGTCATCGAGGTAAACTAGGCAGGTTTCGCCCAGCAGTCCCGCCAGCACCTGTTCCATCAAACGCTCAAAAGTTGCCGGTGCATTGCATAATCCAAATGGCATCACCTTAAATTGCCAGAGTCCCTTCCCAGTTGAGAATGCGGTCTTTTCCTTGTCCTTGGGATCCAAATCCACCTGCCAATAGCCGCTTTTCAGATCGAGCGTTGAAAACCATTTCATGCCACTCAATGTGTCAAGTGTGTCATCGATTCTTGGTAACGGGTAGCTATCCTTCTTGGTTACATCATTCAATCGTCGATAGTCTACGCAAAACCTCGTTGAACCATCTTTCTTCTTGACAAGCACGACAGGTGAACACCAAGGGCTAGAAGAGGGCTCTATCACGTCATTTTTCCTCATATCGTCAATCATTTCTTCAACCTCTTTCTCACGAGCGAATGGTATGCGTCTAGGCCTTTGACGAATTGGCATTGTATCACCTGTGTTTATTTTATGCTTCACCAAACCAGTTCGGCCAATATCACCATCGCTTCTTGAAAACACATCAGAGAATCGAAGAAGTAAATTTCTAGCTTTCATAGTCTCCACTTTTGTCAGACTTTTGTTTTCGTCTAAGATTTTCGTTACAAAGTCAATTCCCGTACTGTCCTTCTTCACAAGATTCTCCGAGCATTTTCTTATCCAGGCCACTTCTTCCAATACGCCCACAGGCTCTCCTTCTTCAATCGTAATTTTTGAATCACTGAAGTTGAATACCGGAATGCGGTTGACATCAGATGACCCCACGACAGTTCTTGCCGGTAGCCATGAGTTTACGTGTTCCGATTTATCAATCACAGCGCACCTTCGAGGTAAACTTCCTTCCTTCCTCCTAGGTAATGCGATTGGTACGAGAGTCTGTGATTTTGGTGCAAGAACAGTTCTTCTTAAACAGCAAACTTTTCCCAGGGTTCCACCCTTCATCGGAATTTCCTCAGTTCCACATAGTAAAACTCCAGATTTTAAGTCGATGTTACACTGGTGCCCTTGCAGGAAGTCAAGTCCCAGGATGCAGTCATCCAGAATTTTGGCCACAATAACCTCATGTCGATAAACACGTTCCCCAATTTTGATTGTTACATGCAGTTTTCCACTTATCGGTATGCACTGGCCGGTAGCTGATTTCATTTGTAGGCCAACAATTGGTTTAAGGTGTTTCCTGATGTTTTGCTCGAGCAGCCGAACATTTATCACCGTCCTTGAAGCTCCAGTATCTAATGTTAGCTGACTGTTTTTCCCATTTACTTGACCGTCTATCACCAGAGTATTTCCATCGTTGGTTTGCTTGATGTAGATTGTTGGGGTTGTTCCACTACCAGCCAGCGCCCACCCCGCAGCCCTGGCTGGATTTAAGTTTCCCTGCTGGTCAGAAGTTGAGACCGCCGCGTCCTGGCGGTTCATCTTCTTCGGGCAGTCGCTCCGTATGTGCCCACGCTCTCCACATCCATAGCACATGAAGTTCCGACGGCGTGGAGGTACCTGCTCCGTTGTCGTCATTTCCCGCAGACGTAAGGTACGGGAGTTACCACGCACGGCTTCCACTTCCAATGCATGGGCCAGAGCTTCTTTCATGTTCTTGTGATGGCCCAGATGAACAGCGGCTCGTACTTCGGGGTCCCGAATACCGTCAATGAACGCTTGGAGAAGCGTGCCTTCAATCATTGACGGAGTCGACCGGAAAGCTCGACGCACAAGTTTCTCGATTTCTACGGACCATTGCTGTAGGCCCTCATTAGCACGCTGAGTACGCTCTTTTAATTGCGCTCTGTACACGTGCTCGAGGTGGCTGTCTCCAAAACGTGCCTCAAGTGCGTCGAGGAGGGCACCAAAGCTGAGATCCCCACTTGCGCCGATAGCTTCCAGCACTGAGAGCGCTTGATCACGGAGGGCCAGGGTAAGGGCTGACTGTGCTTCCTTCTGAGTCCAACCATAAGCCTCCATAAGTGTCTCAAACTGTAGCTTGAACGCGGTCCAGGATGTTGTTCCGTCGTAATGGGGAATCTTAAGCCCTTTCGTTGCACTTGAAGCCGCATTTGGGGCTTCAAAAACGGCTGCAAGACGGCTTCGGCTCTTCAAAGGGCTTGGGCTTGTCACTTCCTGCTTGATTTTGGAGATCTCTTCTTCCACTCCTTGTACCCGTTCGACAGCCTTTTGCAGTCCCTTCGTGAAATCCTTATGCATGTCTTCCAAGCGACGCGCTTGCTCCTCTTGGCGGCGAGCTTGATCATCTTTCAGCTCCCGTAGCTGCTCCGCCTGACAGCGTGCATGCTCCTCTTGGCGACGAGCTTGATCTTCTTTCAGCTCCCGTAGCTGTTCTTCTTGGCGGCGCGCTTGCTCTACCATCATTTGCTGCAGCTGTAGCAGTAGATCCACCTGCACAGGCTTGGCTTCTGCATCGCTGGTTTGAGCTGCAGCACTCTCTTCCCGCACACGCTGCGCTTCTGCCATTGCACGGGTACTCACTCCTCTTACGTCCTGCAGCACTAGCGGCATTTTTCTCCAATCCCACTTCTGACACCAAATGTTACGTGCCTGACGTCACGTTCCTGACTATGCGGGCTTGGGTTACGGGATTGGATGAAATGAAACACTAATACCAGATTTCAAGACTTTCTATTGCACTTAAGTTACAGCGTCCACGGAGTTAAGTTATCGGCGTTCCTCTCCAGCAGAGTCCGGCCGACTGACACAACTTTGCCGTTCACGCTGACTTAACTCACTTAACTGACTGCACTTCACTATTTCACTGCACTTCACTATTTCACTCACTTTTCTTCTTTTTCACTTCTTCCTTTTCTTCCGAATCGCTTTAGACTTAGAACTCAACTGCCAGCGGTGAGCCGCAGTTCCGCTTATATACCCCCGGTTCAGGTTCTGGAACATTCAATTTCGTTATTCTTTTTGATCGTCATGACTCCAGAACCTTCCAATAATTTCGTTACTCATTTTTATTTATTCTCCTTCTCGCTCTTTGATTTTTCATTTCTTTCACACAAATAATTCCAGAAAGTTCCACAAAACTTCTATCAACTAAAAAACTACATGTTTACGGCGGAACTCGAACTCGGGGTCTCTGTGGTGTAATCCACACGCCTTACCGATTACACCAACTCGTGTTGACAATTCACGACGAAATTTACAATCTCTAGGCAACGTTTGACAACCATCCATTGACGTCATGATGCCAAAGAGTTTGAACCACTTTTCCGTCACAATACTTATAATATTATAAAGCTGAAGAGTTTGTTTGAACGCACTAATCTCAGAAATTACTGGTTCGAATTGAAAAAATATGTTTGTGTTTAATAGACCATTTATTGGGTTTAGGCTTAGACCATAAACTTATAAAGCATCACGCTACGATCTGTAGGAGCCGAGCAGCGGGTGAGACCGCGCGAGAGTAGCAAATTTTTCAATGTTTTGTCTTTGAACTTGGCTGACTTTACAATATCAAACTATTTTAATATTTCTTTAACATTATTCCCTTGTATTAAAAGGGAAAATTAATTAAAGCTGGATACCATTCTGAAATGATTATATCACTATGAATAACCCGATATATGGCAGGTTCGATATGGGCGGCATTCTCCCGTCGCCTGCAGACGCAGTTCCAGCAGCTGCAGACGTTGGTGCACAACATCCAGAGCGGGGACGTCCTGGAGGAAGATCCCCCCTCCGCTTTAGTACGCGACTACTTCGGCCTACACAAAATCATTGTACTCGTTACTGATGTCGGAAAGGTAATGTACTAAAGCTTAAATATTAATGTTTATTTAGTGAATCACTCAAGCACAAGTTACGCGAAATCATCGAAAACTGGCCTTTGAATGTGTAAAAATATCATGTTAAGCAGACCATGATAAACGTACAAGAAAGGGCTGGCTCGACCGGAGTGATACAACGGCCTCACAGAAAAATGGCGTGAAGTAACACTTTACGTTGTGTTTCGCCGTGTAAGTGGCATTACATCCCCCATCCTCAACCCTCAGATCGGATTTGACAAATCCCTCATAACCCACAAGAGGGCAACAACGCAGTTGTAGTAACTCCTTTGGTATTAAGGGTGTCCTTGAGCGGCGCTGATTGCTAATAAGTCTGCTCTTTCCGACCTATACCTATGGCATAAAAAACCTTTTTCTTAAAAAAGTTTTGCTTTCCATTATGTTTTTCCCATGTGTCATGGTTAATGCCTAGGTATAAGCATAGAAATTCATATACATAAACATTACACAAACCCGGAAAAATTAATTTGCGAATCACAGAGTTGATCCAGGAACCAAGCGCCTATCGTGCAGATAATGATGGTAATCGTATTACAGATCTTCGGTATGGACAACCTGTCTGGCAACATTCTGTGGCAGTACTACGAAGCTAGCCTGGACACGGAGAACGTGGTCGTGTTCACGCGACGCACCGCGCGACACCCGCCGCACGACGCGTACCTTACTATTGTTGGGAAACATGAGGTTAGCACCAACATAACTACCTAATTAATCAATCGTTTTGATAATCGGATATTTTATTTTCACATGGTTCTTTATATAACTGGCTACTGGCACGTGGTTTTGTAGCTTATACCACTCAGGAACATAGTAGCTATTTATAAATGAATGAATATTAGAAATCCGACGAGCAGTTCCAAAGATAATCCCATACATAACAAACTTACAATTTATTTCTTTATAATATTAATGTAGATGAGTGTGTTTTTAAATATACAAATTCGTAATAATTCAATCCTACACATGGAAAATTATGAGTGTTACTTGCCGATTGTAGTTGTTTAGTACTTTTGTATTTTTTACTTTATATTCTGTTTTGGATTATAATCTGTAACCATTTAAAATATTAACCACATTATCATTTTATCATTACAAGTCATAAAAAAAATTCACCTTATTATGTTTAGGAGACAGGCAATGGGTTGATTATCAGCTTGAACCCTATAACGGGGTCCCTCATCGGGGAGCGGCTCCTGCAGCTGGACGTGCAGTTATTGCAGTGCGCAATACTGCATCGCGCCGACAATGAGAAGCTGCACGCTCTTATACTGCTAGACAAGGATGAAAATGTTCAGGTAAGATTATTTTAAAACCATTTTTTTATGTAATTGGTCGGCAAACGAGCAGACGGATTACCTGATGGCAAACAATCAGCGCAGCCCATGGACGGGTGTCCATGGGCTGCGCCAACGGAGGAGTTACGAGTATGTTGCCGACCTTCTAAGGTTTAGAGATTTGGAGATTTAGGGATTGGGGGCGGGGAAGGATATTTGAAAATAAGGTGGCTCCACACTAAGATTTGTGTATGAGCCAAGCTTCAGCACGAACGCATATGTGGCGGCGCACATAGTAACAACAATATTTAACAGATGGCATAAAACGTTCTACTTCACTCAACAAATTTTGCGCGCGAATAAACACGGATCCCAAAGGACAACTGAACACCTCGCCTGGTCGAAGGATCCTCCTTTTCCGATGGGGTCACTCTCTAGGAGATATTCCCTCAAAATGTCTGAAATTTGAAGATTCCTATAAAATTGCGTTTTGATTTTAAAAATCCTTACTCGTATTCCCAATAATAACCGTGAGGCTAAAATAATAATATAGCATCAAAATTAGTAATTTTATTTATTACTTTCATTAATATTGTTTGTTGTATTTTAGATTCTACCACAGTCGGCGGCGCCTTTGGTAGAGAATATGTTCATGTACGTAGCAGAGAGGAACACCGCTCGGGTGCAGGGATACGCACTCATATACAACGGACAGGTAATTACTGCAAAATGTTCAATTGTACAGGTTGCTATGAAACTCTAATATACGACAATGGCTTATTACAAACTTACATTGTAATTAAGTTGAATTCTTGAATCATCGAATTCCACCCTTATCAGTTTGCAACCAGCCAGCTGAGAAAGTATCCTTTAATTTATTGATGGCTCAAATGTGATACTCAAGTTTTTTTTTTTACTTGCAATAAACTAGTGCTTGACTGCGATCCCACCTGATGGTAATAACAGTTTCAAGTGAATCATAGAGATAGGCCATCTCTAAAAATATTAGTTTTAAAATAGCTTCTGACAATCTTGACTGCACGGTTGACCCAGTGGCTTGGGCAACTGGCTGCTGTGTAACGTGTCGCGGGTTCGATTTTCGCACGATACAACACTTTTGATATTTTTTTAAACGCAGCCACGATACAGGTGCTAATTCTAGTATGGAGTAGCTTTTTTTAATCTTTCAGTTGATAATAATATTGGGCCTTTTTTGTTTCCCTAGACAGTAGAAGCACTCCGCACTTGGTTAGTACAGCTCGGAGGCTCAGCGGATGCGGGACACCGCATCGTAGCGGCGGCGGCCAAGGCGGCCGGGGAACGGGTACACTCCCCGGGCCGGGTACTGCCCGACCGCTCCGTGCTCTACAAGTACGTCAACCCCAACCTCGTGCTCTTCGTCACCGAGGGACCCGATCCACTGCACAAAGGTTACTCTTTGCTATATTCTAGTATACATTTACCAGGACATAAAAAGATGAGAATGGTTTTAGCAAAAATGATATGTACAAAAAAGAGGATTGTAATGTTAAATCTACAAAACTATAAAAAATAATAAAAAACTATATTGGAAAATATCTACTTTACAACCAAAAAGAACTAAAAAGTAATAATAACATTCTTCATTGTCAGTCATTGTATATATATTTTTCCGCCTCAAAAGGTAGTTAAAAAATAAGGACCTTTTTTTTAAAAATACCTTGAACGAATAAAAATGATTAATGGAACAAAAATGCTTTTATCCTATTATTTGACAAGATACAACTTTTGAACATGATTTGGCAACTTATATTGTATTATTAAATTCAACTGCTTACGATTTACACATACATTTACATAACATAAATATTTTTTTTACAGATGTAGTAGTAGCGACATGCGTGGACGCGGCGTCGGGCGCTATAATAGCTGCGCAGGCGCATCGCCGCGCGCGGGCACTGCCCTACGTCGTACACACGGAGCACTACCTCGCGTATCTGTACTACAACGACAAACATCGCAGGACTGAGATTGGTAATTATGTTACAATAACTGTTTTTAGTCTTCACTTTATTATTTACTAGCTATTCTCGCGCGGTTTTACCCTCTGCTCATCTCCATTTCAAAATTCATTTTATGATGTTGTGTCCTTAAAAATAATCTGAATTTATTGAAAATAACGATTAACGCGCAGCTAGTTGGCGACGTCACTGCGACTAGTACGTTGCTCATGAATAAAAGTTCGGTTGTGTGTGTAATTTCAAACTATACTCGGAATTTTAATTCCATTCCAGATTTGACAATTTCAGTGTTGCAACGTTATGACACGTAATAAATAGGGACGTTGCGAAATTATTCGATGTGGAAATCGAATTTTTCTGAATCGATTCCTCTCGTTTATAAATTCAATCTCGTAAACTAAGTTTATCAGGAAATAATATATTTCTGAACCGATAATTTAGTTTTGACAATTAATTAACGATCTGAGACTTTTCTTTTGTAATTGTGTGTGAAATTAATAAAAAATGTGATCATGAAGGAACATGACAAATAAAACAGAAATTTTATAAAATGTCGCCGTCATTGTCGTTGTCGCTGTTACTTTCTGTAACATTTATTATGAATTGTGTCTGTGATTTTTATTGTCAATTAAAATATCTAGCTTACTCATTTTTTCCTCTTCTTTAACAACATGGGATACGCATTTAGACCATTCGGTAGTCGTAATTTTTTGAATGCCTTCCTGAAACTGATTCACTGGTTGTTTATCGATTTTTGTGTTCATCACTACACTGTTATATGTGGTATCATTATTTCACAAAATGACAATAGGTCATGTCAAATCAGGAATCGAATTTAAATTCTGACTATAGTAGACAACTTTTCTCAGGTAATTCACGTCAAAAATAAGTCGTTATTTTCAATAAACTTATCAGCATATCTCACGATATTTACTATTTAAAAAACATTCTCATTTATAATATTAGTTGAGTTTATTGAGCAATGTTGTCCGTGCAGCGACGATGGAGCTGTACGAGGGCAAGCAGCGCTGGTCGGGCGCGGGCGCGGCCTTCCGCTCGCTGTGGGCGGAGCGCGCGCCCGGCGTGGAGCGGCGCGCCTACATCGTGCCCGCCGCGCCCGCCGCCGCCGCCATCACTAGCACTGAGCGCTCCCTCACTGACAAACATCTGCTGCGTTAGTATTCCTTCTACCTCCAATACATACCCCCTTATCCGGTTCCGACCAAAGAATTTTCAGTACCGCGATGTTAAATTTGCAAGATGTTGAATTCGCCAATTGTTATTGTGAATATGATTCAATATTATGAGTTCGATATATCACAAATTCAACATCGCAGTATTAAATGCCAAAGACAAAGATGTAGAAATGTATTTATTACTATTTATGATAAATTTAGTATGTCTCACAATAAATAATTTATTGCGATTCAAAATAGGAGGTACATTCAGATATTTTTTTAAATTCATTTTGTATTTTACTTGACATAGAAATCGTCTTTTTAGGTTTTTAGACATTTAAATTGATGAGATAACTTATAACTATAATAAAAGTATATTTTGAATTTAAATCTGAAATAATAAATTATATTTTGAATTCACACTTTGTACTTAAATAAATAAACTCTAAGGTACTGACAAAATTAAACAGTTTTTTTCACTCGTAATTAAGCTTTATATTCATTAATCAATCGCATTGCACTTTACCTAAAATTATGAAAGAGAAAAATTCAACCTTTTATACACACATTAATTTCAAATTCTTTCCGTCTTTTCTTATTTTTACACGAAATAAATGCTTATATAAACATAATACACTTAATTTTTTATCAGTAACTGATAAATATAACATTCAATTAACGTCTAAACTAAACAACCGTCCACACTATGTGTTTCCAGTGGCACTATCATCAGGTGCAATAGTGGAGGTGCCGTGGGTGTACCTGGAGGCGCGGCGCGGCGCGGGCGAGGAGGGCGGCGCGCTGCCGGCGGCGGCGCCCGAGCTGGCGCTGGCGGGCGACGCGCGCCTCAACTACAACCGCACCCTCGCGCGGCCCCGCGGTCTACACACCGCGCCCGCCGGGCTCGAGTCCACCAGTCTAGTGCTCGCCACTGGGCTCGGTACGTCACCACGCAGCCTTTACAATTACCATACATATTTACGCCACTTATGAATATTTTTTTCAAAATCAAACTGTTTAGATAGATACTCCAAATACGCACCAAGTAAAGAGGTAGTCTTACTAATAATATTATGGTGAAATCGAAATTAAATTAAAAATATTATTGTTATTATTTACTTGGTGCGTTAATATCATTTTTGTACACAAACTGTCCCCGTGAACTTATTTTTTTACCCGACTGCCAAAGAAGGAGGGTAATGTTTTTCGAGTGTATGTAAGTATGTATGTATGTCTGTTCCTTTGTGACCTCCTGTAGCCTAAACGGCTTGATGGATTTTGATGTATGAGGTATCGTTAGATTTGTCTTGATTACGGGAGTGTCATAGGATACATTTTATCCTAAAAGTCCCACGGGATAAAGACATAATAATATTTTTTCTAAATTTCCCTTTAAAAAAATATGTATGCGGTATCATTAGATTCATTTCAATCACGGGAGTAATTAATATAGGATACGTTTTTTCTCAAAATTCCCACGGGAACATGTTAATTCTGCGTCAACGCAAAGCAACTCATGCGTTAGCAAGCAAAAAGATAGGGCGTGGCCTGGCATGCGGCGCCAAATGTCGTCGAAATAATTTAAAATGGTACTTACATATACATAGTCTTCTACATCTACAACATTTTTGTTAAATAAAAACAGCTAAAAAGTTATAAATAAAAAAAATATTATTAAAAAAACAAAATACCCGACTGCACACTAAAAAAAGAGTAAAACAAGCCCCACAATACAAATTTACTGAATATAATTTATAAATGTTGATGGAAAGCATCGCAGGCGGGGACCACCTTGACCGCCACCAACGAAAATTCTGCTAAATGGTGCACAACAGAAATGACTATAAATAAGCCTCTGTTGGTCCCCGCCTGCGATGCTTTCCATCAACATTTATAAATTATATTCAGTAAATTTGTATTGTGGGGCTTGTTTTACTCTTTTTTTAGTGTGCAGTCGGGTATTTTGTTTTTTTAATAATATTTTTTTTTTAAGTCTAGTATTACTACACAATTTAATAGTATGTTCTATTTCCAAATGCTACTCCTGAAAAAAATCAGCATATAGCACCGTAATTTCGATATTACGATACTTTTCTTGAATCCGTTACATATGACGTCATCTTATTTTGATGTCAAATAGCACACTTACTTCTGAATCCATAATAATGATGTAAAAAACCAATGAATGAAAATATGATCATATTTTAATAATTGCATTAAAATATCAAACTTATTTATTTTTGGCCTAAAAATTTTAAGAACTCGAGCGAATATATCTCACTTTGTTTAGCTCATCCCATGTAGACATGATTCGCTTAGGATTGTATGGCATTATACTTGTAAAAAATTGTATATAATGTAAATGTTATTCGTTCACAGATCTTTTCTACACTCGAGTAGCACCATCAAAGACGTTCGATCTCCTGAAGGATGACTTCGACTACTACCTAATCACCATAGTGCTGGCGGCGCTAATCGTCGCCACTTATAGTACCAAGTACTTCGCTTCGCGGAAGATGCTCAAACTAGCGTGGAAGTGATGCAAGTATAGCCTCTAGGGTACTATAAAAAGGAATTTGGACTGTGCTCCCATAGAAATAAAGTTCAGATCTATTAAAAAGGTATGCTACGGAAAGTATTTGCCTACAGCCTAAATAAGGCGAGTAACTAGATTTTAATGATACTGATTTGCAAGTTAGCGTTAAAGTAGAAGGTAATTTAAAGTGGTCTAGAACAAAGTAATGCTAAATATCAAAGATTGATACAAGTAATATAAAGAATAAATAAAGATAAGATGTTTAAAATATTATGATTATATAATATTTATTGTCAAATTCTAGATAGTGTTACTTGCTTTTCTATTTCTGCGATTCATTATTCATATCAACTTGATAGCTCCTGTCTCGAAAACCGTGCCATTGTAGTCTGCAAAGAGATTCCATTCTCTCGTTGATGGCACCCGTGAGCTGAGAGGAAAACCACTGCCATATATTCCGACGCAGTCCAAATTCCTATATTTTAATGGACTTTTATAAATAAATAATGAATAGTTTCGTGATCGTGCATAGTGAGTGTTCACAGTTAGTAAATGGATACACAGTAATATATACTTTAAGCTTAAGCTCCGTTGTAGAAAGTTAAACAAAATATATAGAAAATGGACTTAAATCTAGGATAATATATGCAATGGAATACGGCCTTTACAAGACTAATCGTAAATTGACTAGCAAACGAAACTTATTTTAAGCATTCTGTACTATCATCGTAAATGCTAGTCGAGAGTCGGCGAACTTTTTGTAAGAAGCAATAAAGTAAGAGAACTGTAAATATTGTTACACTTTTACAACGGTGCGTTTGAGCGTCATATCTGAAGGGAAATCTGATATTTCTGAATGGATTCAGTGATCAAAGTTGTTCAAATAAATACCGGTCTATATAGTTTAAGTTGACCCTTCCACGTAGTGTACGAAGCCCCGAATTGATTTGTATATTCAATGTTTATAACATAGTAATTTTCTAAGCTGCTTCAACGGATCATGTTAAACTGTATAGACTTAAAATTGTAAAATTTAGCTAGTGCAATTTAGATGTATTATTTATTTAAGGGTGGTTTGTATTATACGATTCATTTTAAATATATTTAAACCATTCCACTATTTGTCACCTTATAATATATCAATTTTAACATCATTGTATTGTAAATTAAAGATATCGTTATTTTTCCTATTTAAATCTATTCTAAAGTCGACTTAAGGTGGCTGAGGTGAGTATAATCTTATTGAACATAGCATTTAATATAATTATGTATCTTATTCAAAATGTCCGAGCATTTGTTCCTACAGTTTTTTAAGTTTCTTCTTATTTATTAACACAGAGGAAAACTGCGCAAGAAATCGTTACTGTTTATGTTTGAAGCAATTTCCACAAAGATTGTATAATAGAATATTGTATAATCTCAGTTAATTATAAGTTCCATTCATAAATACCTTTATATTATATAGGAAGTATTAGAAACACGTCACACATGACCTTTCGGCTACTCTCTGTTGAGTAGAACTACTTAATTGTGTACTTCAAGGCATGATTTTAGAAGAGCAGTATATTGCTTACCGTTTTGTATATTTGTCTCCGGTAGTAATATTTATCGGGACGTCGAGCACTGTTTCTAGAACTTAGAGTTATAATAGACAGATATATTGAAACTTGTTCTCCCTCAATTGAGAGCTACGTAATTCTAACCACAATAAAAATGTATAAATATTCCCAAACATGATCCATTACCTTTCCAGAAGAACGGTCCATATGAATACATGTTTGCTTCGTGAATTTTATCCGCATTGTTATTCCTATAATATGTCGACCTTACTTTTAAAATTAAAAATATTTTAATTTTAAACAAGAACCGTTATTTTAAGCGAGGATTTTTGTTTACAAGTATTTGCTCACGCAGAGTTGTTAATTAGCAATTAAGGTTAAAGTTTACCGTGTCTTATTTGTTTATTACTTATAATGTTTCTTTGTTATTTCAATTTGTTGCAATGGTGGCTTCATAGTTCAGAGGTAGAACATTGCAACCACACTCATAGCTACCGCTCATGGAAGTGACCGAATTCTGAGACTCGTAAATTAAAAAAGCTTTTTTATATTTATATCTTGACAAGAAAGTGTAAATATTAACTTTTACAAAAACATTGTAATACAAACCTTAGTTTCCACACAAAGAAACTTATCTATACAATTTTGTATGCTAAGAAGTTATTTATGAAATATAATAAATTATATTATTTATTATTCATTAACTCTTCTGTTATTCAAATACATGTACTTTAGTATATCCGAATGTTACCATTTAATCGATTTTTATGTATATTGTATGGGTTATTCACGTAATTGACCTCGACAGTTTTCAACTAACAGTTGGCTGCGCGACGTTAAATAATATAAGCTGCTAGCGTGAATGAAACTAGCCGATTTCCTCTAACTTAACAGTTACGAGTACATCGTTACACATAATAGTTAACATTTCATTGTTTAAATTTAGCGATTGGGATGATAACAGTAACAGGATAATGTGATTTATGTTATTGTTCTAGTTCAAGTACTCACGTTTGTATTTGAAACCATTTCACATTACAAGGTACAGCTGGTCCGGATACTCCAAACCAGCAATGACACTCATTGATGATCTTGGAATGCACTATTTATTGTTACCAATAGTAAAGACGATTTTAAATACTTGTGTGTAAGTTATTCACTTACATTATGTAAGATGCGATCCACGCGTTAAACCTATTTGTTATGTGCATGTAACAAATTAGTTTACCATTAATGTTTTGTGAGAACATTATAAAAAATCGTGAGTGGTGAGAAGTCCCTAAATGTGGCTTTGTTAGACTGAGATAAAGATGTGAGAGTGGTTGCAATACATAAGTAAATATTATATACTGTAATTATAAAATGGGTATTTGTTTTCTGTGACCAATGTGTTTTTGTAAAAAATAAAGTTGAAGTAATTACTGCCAGTTGGTGTTTAATTTTTTCAAATAACTCAATGATCTGTTACGTTATCAGCGAGTATAGTAAAATTATATTTTATAAGAATGTATGAAAGTAAGTACTGTAAAACGGAGTGAATACAATTTGAGGGACGAATAGATGTTACTGAATTTTCCTAGTATCTATTCAACCTTCTTCTGCGTCTATTTATTCCTCGAATTCTATTCACCCCTTTTTACCGTTACATAGAAAAGGTCGTCAACTACATACGTCATACCATGATGGGTTAACTTTCAAGGAGATTCCCATTTCTAAAAACCTTATGACATTATTATCGAATCCCTAAGACACCAGAGAAGAATTTATACGATCATCGAAAAGGAGTGTCTGGCTATCACTGACTAATAACCACTCTGTATCTTCTCCTACTCTAAGCCGGGGCCCTGTACAGTATTCCATTACACCTGCAACCCCGCCCCAAGTGAGCCCAAATCATCACCATCCACTACCTGGGCACCATTTGCGTTGTACAACTTCGACAAGATATATCAACCTTATGCAGACGTGGCATTCAGAATATTTTATAAGGGGCCGTCCTCGGGCCGGCTCGAAAATGAGGGGACATCACTGTTATTCCGAAATCAGAGAGCGTAACCTTAGCGTAAATCCGAAATTTTGTAATTAAATGAAAGTCTTGCCACTCCGTGGGATGAAGACAACATTAATTCAATCATTGCAAATACATACCTACCTATTTATAAATAATTAGTATGTTTGCCATATTTTTTCAGTCAAAAATAACTTTAAAAAAATACACGTGATCCAAATATCACCATGGGGGAGGGAAAAATGAGAAAAACAACCTCACGTGATTAATGGACGGCCCCTAAATGGGCGCACTTCTTCCAATATCATACCAATCCTATCCATCATTCAGGAAATAGGTACTTATGTCTCTTGGGTAGGAAAATCTGCTTATTTCGGGCATTCAACAAAATGTTGAGGCTTTACAAATGGTACGGTATTCTACGCCAAGCTCACTCCCTACCTATCCTTTTGACCAGCAAAATGGCCAATAGTAATGTCTAGGGCGGACACTATTTTCTCAATTTCAGGGTCGATTAACGTTTATCCTCGGTTAAGTGTTGAATGTTTTATAGGTATGTGTTAGTTTGGCTTTGCGTGACGAGATCGATGATACGCGACGCATTTTACGCTGAATCCATCTCTAAGAGGTCGCACAGAACATACCGTAAAACAGGGTGTATAGATACACAAAAGTGGTGAATAGGTGTTGGCGAATTTTCCTAGTATCTATTCACCTCTCTTCTCCGTCCATTTACCACCGTTACTATGCTCTAGGTCTTTAGTTACCATCAGTGCGGCTGTGTTAGTTGGCACAAGGCTTGGTATATTGGACAATCTCGTGAGTACTTGGTTTATTTGTCCTTTGTGCCGATTAGGCATATAACAAAATAAAACTCCCTTGTAAGATAATATTACAAAATGATTTATTCTTTATAATTAATTACGATACATTATCAAAAATTAACTTAATATTACTTTGATAATCTTTATCTGTGGCGACATAAGGAGATCCGACTATTTGGAATAAATGCACGTATTCTCGAGTGGGTGGTTCAAGAACTTGGTCGTTGTTGCACAGAGTTCTAAGGTGGTACCAGGTTGCGCCGTGATTGTAATCCAGCAGTCTTTTGAAGAACTCCACCGCTAACGACTGAAAAGAATTGTTTAATATTTTACTATCAAAACATGTATATTTCTTTTAAATTTGGCGAATATAAATCAAAAGTGTTTTTAATGCTATCCTTACCTGAAGCGCTTTAGGTTGTTTCTTAGATAAGTACGGCTGTACGCATGTCATAGCATTCTCCAGCGCCTCGTCTTCGAGCATGAGATCAATCGCCAGGTGCGGTAGTGCGGCTAACGCGGTTAGTTGTAGACTGTACGCCTGACTGTTGCGGTACGCAGAGCCTATGTCTTTCAGGTAGCTTTCCTTTGATGATTTGTTTAGAAAACTGTATATGTGCGGTAGGACGTCCCTAGAACAATATAATGTCTTTATTAATCCTATAGAAAATATATGGGTGTATCTTTGTTATTCTTCACACAAAAACGACTGAAACGAGCCAAACGGCTGGTGTATGTTTCACACCAAATCGGTCCAGACGTTTTTGTGTATATAGGTGATATTATAGATTAACACATAGGCTGGCTTTTCCTCAACCTTCCATGCAAGCTAAGTCGCGGGCGGAAGCTAGTAAAATTTGTATGCTTTTGGTACAGATACTAATATATTGTAAAGTTGGTATATGTATTTGACGACAACTGGAAACACAGAATCAAAAAATGGTTTTGAGTTTTCACCAAACTTACCTGATGGCTCTGCCCCGAATAAAGTCTCGTGCTAACTCGGCCATAGTAACAAGCAAATCAAACGCTCTCTTCATGATGGCGGGTTCTTTATCAAACCTGGAGATGAGTGGCCCCCAGGATTTGTGCACTAATGGTAAGAGCTCGTCATCATATTTCCTCAATATTGGTAGCCCGCGAGTAAGGACTTGTAGTGCCAGTATTGAGTTGTCGCGCTGTGACGAGGTCACGTAGTTGAGGCATCGTTTGAGTATCGTGACGGTTACTGTGACATGTTGGGGCAAGGGAGGTTTCTCTTCTGCAAAAATAAATGCAATTTAGTGATCCCATTTTTACCAGACATAATTGGGTAGTTTCCTAGGTCAAAAATAAATTAATTCGATGTTTCAATACAATAAAATATTGAAAAAAACTATACTTTTATTCATCGATCGATCGATACACCAAGTTAGAGATTTTTTTAGCTAATTATTGTGAAATAAGTATGTTATTTGACGCAAAAATGTTATGACGTCATAGCTCAGTTTTTCATACAAATTTCATAGAAAAGTATCGTTTTTGACGTTTGGATAAAAGTATTGAATTTGACTAGTTGGAAACTACCGTATTACACAGGGTTAAATCAAAAGTCTTACCAGTGACAGTATCATCATAATCCAACATTTCTTCCTCTCTTCTCCTCATATCTTCTCTGTACATTTCCTCCACACTCCGACCAGCTCTATTTTCAAACTCCTCGTCATTCAACAACCGTTCCTCAGTCTCTCTATTTTCTACAAATACCAATAGATCATTTAAAATGTCTATTTCTCTGTTCTCTTCTGTCGCCTTGGGCTCAACTTCGGGTATTTCATACCACTTGCGAATACATTCCACGAATGTTAGGAAAACTTGTAAGTATGCTTGCAGATCTTTTTCGTAATACTTATCACAACTTTGAACAAGGACCTGCAAGGACAATTATAATATTGTAGGCATTTTATTTATCTCACTTTCATTTTATCAAATTTTAATAGGTTCTAATACTTACGTCTTCGACTATTCCATAGAGATAATTGAGTATACTGGAGTCACTGTATTCCATTACAACTGAGAGTATTTGCAGAGCTGATTGACAGTTCCAGGCCTGCAAGAACATTATTTTATAACTTAGATCAAAATATATACGGTAATTGTTTTATTTATTTAAAGAAATACTTGTTAATTTATTGTAAGTGTACCTTCTTCAGTCTAACAGTGACTTGGTTAGTGAAGTAATCAGCATTGTGTTTAATAAGGTCCGCCACAGTAGCGTGGCCGCAAGCTACGGCAATGCCGTGTATTGCTTTCAGTCCAGCTAGATGCAGCATCTCGTACTTACTGCCTGTAAACAAGGATTTGTTTGTATTTGGGTTGGATTATAGTGAAAACTTGACATGCAGAACTAGTATTTATCCAGACTTTCAATTTAGAGAAAGTACGTTGTTATCTTACTAATATTATAAATGCGAAAGTTACGATGTTTGTATGTTTGTAACTCAATTACGCCAAAACGGCTGGACGGATCAGCATGAAATCTGTTTTTGAAACACAGACATGGATTCACTCCGAAATAAGCTAAAGGCTAAAATTAATTTTATTATGAATTTTTTGCTTCTATTTCAAGCATAATCAGTTCTAATGTTCAATTTTATGTTTACTTACCAACTCTCTCAAGCACCAAACACAAAGTCTTCAATAGAAACGGTTGATATTTGTCCATGAGACGTCGTGCTATCACGCCGACACCCTCAGTGAGTAGGCAGGAGAGCAACATGTTACGTTGTGCGTCGCCCAGCGTGGCGCATTTGTTGGGGTCTGTATGAGGCTTTGTCCGCGCCACGCGGTAACTAATGTCTGTGTAACGAGTCTCTATCGCGCCTTCGTATAAATCTAGTAAAAAAAATGATTTGATATCAAAATGTGAACGTAAGTACAATTTTTGTAATGTTTAAATTAAACACTCGCGCAAAATTAAAGAATGGCTGTACAATAAAATAAATGTTACTTGTAAAAAAAAATAAGCTAAAAAAAAAACAAACTTTTCCAATACCTCTTCTATTGGAAAAGTCAAGTCCTAAACTGATACGGTCTTATTACAAAACAAAGTTTTACTTTAGTCTAGGACTAAACCATTGAGCCAGTTTTTGTATTTCGAATTGAAGGTAGGTGAGAATAAGATTCAAAATTCAAAACCCGACTCAATGGTTTAAACCTGGACTAGGTAGGTAAGATAAATCTTGTTTTGTAATAAGGGGGTTACTGACTAAAAACCCCCGTTCGTTCTCCTGCTACAGGCCGAGGCCGCGATACCTTCTTGCTTCGCGATTTGAAGGTCCCGGGTTAACACTAAGTCGAACGATGAAGATGTCTAATCTGATAGCAAATAATGTCAAAAACAATACCTACCAGGAACGCTGTCCTTGTCCCAAGACCTCGGATTGTACACACTTACATCCAATGTGTCTTCCGGGTTGAGAGCGGGCTCCGCCACACCCACCTCAAGAGGTAAGTACCATACATCTTCCTCTAAGTACGTGTTCAGTATACGCTTCACGAAATCCTCGGATGAATTTGGTGCTGTGAAGATAAAAGTTTTGTTAGCCACCAGTTTTTAATTTTCACATTTTCCTTATCACATCAACATGCAGTCAGCAGTTGTCAACAGATACGACCTTCAAACCTTCAAGAAACGAGCATACTCCTTCTTGAAGGACGTTTAATTCTCATTATCATTCAGAATGATTAAAAACCGCCAGAAACAGGAGTTCACTTTTTTTCGTCCCCAAGTTAGGTGGTATCCGTAGGGATAATGGCAAAGCCATAAAAAGCAAGGTTGCTATAACATAATTATGCGTTTCCCTAAAGGAGGAATGGGCTATATATAATCTTTTGGCTGAAGTATAACACTCTACTATCGTCGGGCATTTATTAAATGACCATATCCCTCACCTGCCGCCATCCAGTTGCAGATGTATACGACCTCGGCGCTCCTGTCCAGTTCGAACAGCTCGAGTAGTTGGTCCAACAAGAGAGACGCACATTCAGCCTCGCCTAGCAAGCTCAGGATCTCTTGTACGCGACGCTCGCATTGCTCGTCATCCAAATGCCTCAACTTGCACCACGGGGAGCCAACAGGAGGCGGAGAGATTACATCTACGAGTAATAAATGTAATGTGAATAGCTAGAATAATATCTATTAAACTTAGAAAGATAAAGGTCTTTTTCGCATGCCCACGAGTATCACGCGTTGAATTAATTTCGCTAAGTGTTATAACTCAACAATGCCTTTACCGATTTAGCTACTTTTGGTCTTAAATTATTCGTGAAAGTCCAAAGAAGGTTTGTATGTAGAGAAAATTAAATAATTTTTTTATTTATAACTTTTTAGCTGTTTTTATTTAGAAAAAATATTATTATGTCTTTATCCCGTGGGACTTTTAGGATAAAATGTATCCTATGACACTCCCGTAATCAAGACAAATCTAACGATACCTCATACATCAAAATCCATCAAGCCGTTTAGGCTACAGGAGGTCACAAAGGAAAAGACATACATACATACTTACATACACTCGAAAAACATTACCCTCCTTCTTTGGCAGTCGGGTAAAAAAAGCTTTGACAAAGTGTAAAATCGACATCCACGCGGATGGAAGCTCGTTTTATATAGAGAGTAAGTATCTGTACCTCTAACAGCATGTTGTGTGAGCATGGTGAGGTCCGCGTGTATGGCGACGCACTGCAGCAGCGCGACGCAGACAGCCTGCACGTTGTCGCGCCCGCTCAGCGCCGCCGTCAGGCGCTGCGCCGGGCCCGCGCCCAGCGCGCTCACGTAGCCGTGCACTAGGTTCAAACTCGACAACTTGCGACTCGAATCTGAGAATACATACAACTTACACAATTCTGTCCTTGAAGACGAATCGTTTTTAATATTAATTTTGTATTGGGTATTTTTCTCAGTCATAAATAATATATTTTAACTTCTCGATACAAAAAAGTATTACAAAATTAAAACATTTCGTTCATCAAGTTGACGATAATCTTAGTATTTTTGGAATAAGTTTGCTATTATTAATTATTATTAAAGACCTTTAAAGCCGTCTCATTCAAAAAAAGATTTGAATTTAACAATACGAATAACAGTGACATGGTTAGAACAATTAATGAAAATATGAATCTTTTTTTTTTTTGTTGCATTGAGTACTATATCGAGTATTATGTTTTTAATAATTTTTGTAAACCCCAAACGTGACTTGAAACTAGTCGGGTTAACTTGTCGAACCTTCAAACATAATTGTCTCAACATGGTTTTAATAAAAAACATCTACTTTACATTCAATTTTTCTTTGCGTACGACTTCAGGGTTTTAAATGAGTTGTGAATACAGCGTAATGTATTTATTTAGAACGCGATGTTACTTCGTAGTAAATATGGAATATGGAATATGCATTCATATTCATTAAGTCACTCATGTGACGCGAGAGCTGTACGAATTTGCATGAGAATAACACAACAGAGAACTAATACTGGATCAACTAATAAAAATGTTAATTTTTCAAACTTCGAAGCTTCGAGGAAATTGCTTTTCCTTTCGGTCGCATTCGTTAACATTCATATACAAGACCATATTCTACAAATTCCCAATAGTAATTTATTTGTTTATTAACTACAATAAGGTGGGGTCGCAGCTTATGTATACAAAGTGGTTTAAAGTATTTTTTATAGGGGTCGCAGCTTATGTATACAAAGTGGTTTAAAGTATTTTTTATAGGCAGTTGGTCTTACTACATTAGCCAGTTACGAGCTAACCAACATTTTATATAGACAAAATATATAGAAATTAAAACTAGAAGAGCATTTGGGGGAGATCAGAACGGACTGATTTTACTACTAAATAATTATTGGCTACATCCTCAAATCCTCAGCCATCAACTAACATTAGAAATATTGCCTTAGGTATTTTTTTTATTTGAATACTCACCAATATTATTCATAACTCTAGGTAGACCATTGACAGCAGTAAAGAAGTTTTTGCAAAGCGAGTCTAACGTTTTTGATCGTGTTTCTTCTGAAGCGTTTTCGAAATACGCAGAGAGGGCGCTTCTGCAGTATTCGGACACCTCGGGGTATTCGTCTTTGGACAACAGTATGAGTGTGTCCAGGGCTAAGGCAACTGACGACACCATTGCACTGAAATTAAAGCTCAATTTAGATTGTGATACTTACTCATTTGATGTACAAGACTGGCGAAGTTTGGTAACAACGAGTCTTGCCTATATACCAGATTCCGCCCGCGTATAAAAGAATGTGTCTCGGGGTTTTAAAAATCTACTAAAATGCGCAAATGAAGTAAGTATAATTTATAGTCTTTAGCACTCAGGAACATTGTAGCAATCTATCAGGGAACGAATTTAGGAAATTCGACCAGGCAGCGGTTCCATAGATTACCACTACATACAAACTTACAAATTTTACATTGAAATCATTGATCACAATAAAATTGAATTTACAACCTCATGTAATAAAAGATAAAATTTATTTATATATTATAAATACGAGACGATAGCATAAGATTGAGATTGATTTTTGTCGTGTTTTCATTGGTAAAATCTGGAACTTTTACATGACAAATTCATCGAGCGAGTCGCACCTAAAACTTAATTTTATATCGATTAATTCATGAAACTCCATGTGAACCCATTGCTCTTCTATTGTGTCCCGAATTACCACAATTGAAAGGTAAATAGTAAATAATTAGGAATAGAATTATTTTTAAAAACATTAAACACCTACACATCACATTCTACGAGCATCCTGGCGAAGTAAATGGCGAGCTCCTTTCTCACTTTGAAGTGTTCGTGTGTTCTCAGCGCCACTATATGCTGGTTGATGATCAACACTTTCTGACTGGCCACTTTGAACCATTCAGCACTTCTCACCGGCAGGGTTTTCGGATCCACTGTTGATAATAATCAAAACTTAAAGAAGTATCATTTCAGTGAGTGTATAATTTTCAAGCTTTTTTGAAGTGAAAGTAAATTTTGTATAGAACATGGCTATCATAGAGTATTTTTATTTCACTAACTCATTTTTTGTAAGCATTAATGCTTTGGGTGAAAGACAACCAACAAAAAAAAAAAAACTATTTTATAGCATTTACTTATAGAAATGCCCTCAAAATAGCTTAAAGTTTTTAGGGATAAAGTCTCACTTTATATACCTACTTACATTCGATTTTTAAATAAATAAAATCATAATTCAACATCGTTAGACCCGATATAAGTAGAAGTTTAATATCACTTGGGATACAAGTTATTATTATTATTCTCTATAATTACTAATTACCCTTATTGCTTACTTCTTTGTTTCCTTTCTGTCGGTACACATTCATAAAGTCCTCGGCGGTCGGCTCAGTGGCTTGGTTCATGTATTTATTGTTCATTGCAAGGCACAAAATCCGATGCATCGCGTCTATTGCTGTCTACAATATAAAAAACAATCTCGTAAAGATATAATCGTGACAAAGATTATAATTTTTTTTTTTATATTTTGAGTATTTTTTAAAGAATATTTATTGCCCAACAATTACATAAATAGTCGTTCGCGTGCGGGTATCTAACCCGTAACATGGTGCAAAGCAGTCAGTTCCCCAATCGTTGCGAAAAACGCAGTCATAAACAATTGGAAAAATAACAAATAAAAAATTGCAAGTTAAACAACATCCACAAGAAAATTTCAAAACATTTCACACAAAAAGTCTTTAAATATTAATACTGCCAAAACTTTCCAATATCACATATTCCAAATTCAAAGTTAAGAAAATCCTTAAAACATCCAAAACAAACAATAAAAATGAAAAATTATTAAAAAAATACACGAAGAACATGGTTCCGCTGAATACACGTTGTGTACGTATGAACGATGACTGTATTCAACTTACTGGCCTCTTCGTATTTTATTATTTTATAATAAAACACGAAAAGGGCAGCACGAAGAATTTTCCTGAAAAGTACATACACCAAGACAGTAAGTGTAGCAGAGCCATCGACTCGACCAGTGTGGTACCATGACCTCACAGAAAACCGGCGTGAAGCAACTCAAACGCTGTGTTTCGCCGTGTGAGGTTATCAGAGACCCAATTTTTCCCCTCTCCTCGCATCCTCAATCTTCCCGAATAATCCAAAACAGGCAAGCAACGCACTTGTAGTGACTACTTTGGTACTACAAGTGCCCATGGGCGGCCCTGATTGCTTTCCATCAAGTAATCCGTCAGCTCGTTTGCCGACCTATACCATTAAAAAATATTCACAAAAAACAAACATCGAAATAAATAAAATATTCAACAGTAACCTTTTATAATATAAACAAAAATATTGATGAAAATACATAGAGCCACACGAAAATTGTATTAATTTTATTTGGGTATAATAATAAATACATCATAGCTGTGGGTCCCACGACGAACGATGACTGTATTCAACTTACTGGCCTCTTCGTATTTTATTATTTTATAATAAAACACGAAAAGGGCAGCACGAAGAATGATCCTGAATATGTAGCACATGTACAATTGAAATAGGTATTATCTATCACATCGCTTGATGTTGACGTTAATGATGTTTTTTTTCAACCGTTGCCTTTTACGTAATTTATATTAGGTTAATAAACATACAAAAAGGGGCACAGAATGTTCCTGAAAATACATAAATGAAAAATAAAGGTATAGGTACCTATGTAATTGGGAAAACAACACGGAGAAAAAATAAATGTTGATGTTGCTTTATGCGGTGGACGTCGACCGATGACAGTATTCAACTTACTGGCCTCTTCGTATTTTACTAATTGATAATAAAACACGAAAAGGGCAGCACGAAGAATTTTTCTGAAAATACCATCATACAAAGATTGTCAAAAAGGAAAATTTAAACAAATTTGCTTCATATGGCTGCGTTGAGGTCGCCGATTGATGATACAATTCAACCGCTGCCTTTTTCGTGTTTTATTTTATATAAGTAATAAAACACGAAAAGGGCAGCACGAAGAATAAACCTGAAAATACAAGTAATAACAACAAATAGGTAACATTCACAAAAGTACATTCAGTAAGCTCCACTCTGATGTAGACATCTTCTAGTGATGATTATATTCAACCGCTGCCCTTTCCGTGTTTTATTTTTGGGCTAATAAAACACGAAAAGGGCAGCACGAAGAATGACCTTGAAAATACATAGAAATCGAATGTGTTAAAATACCTTAAAATAAATATTGATTTTATCCTCGTAGAATATCGATGAACGATGAAAGTATTCAACTTACTGGCCTCTTCGTATTTTATTATTTTATAATAAAACACGAAAAGGGCAGCACGAAGAATTTTCCTGAAAAGATGACTTTGCATATTTAAAAATCTGCTTTAAATTTCTGTTGCGTAGCGTGTAGATGTCGACGAACGACGATATATTCAACCTCTACCTTTCTCGTGTTTTATTTTGGGTAATAATGGTAATAAAACACGAAAAGGGCAGCATGAAGAATCTCTCCTGAATTGATTGTCTTGTATACCGGTTACCATTTCTCAAGTGCATTCTTCTCAATCTAAAGAAAAGAGACCAAAGAATAAAAATTCCAGTAACAAAAATAATCTTACCACAATGAGGGCGTGTCCAGGGTTGTCTTTACAAGTGGCGACATCTTGCAGCGCTCCCATTACACCAGGCAGAATCAGAGATAGCATGTCTACTACCAGCTTCTCTTGAAGGGGATCAGTTATATGGTAGTCTGTGGTCAGCTGCGGGTGAGTTGCTGTATGTGCTGTTACGCATTGTATTGCAGCTAATCTGAAAGTGATTTGGTCTTTTCACAAAAGAACTGGGAATAATAAACATTCCAAATTTGAAAGAGGAGCTCAAGGGGCTGCGAACAAACGCTAGAAGCAAATGCTTGAGACTTATGTTTATTTTCCCTTCTTTTTATCAAAAAGTTTTATTACATTTAATTTTAATAATCAAGATCAAGCCACCTAAACAGGTAAAGCACTGATTAGTAACCATGGTGGTCTAGTGTTACAGCCCTTACTGAACACTATTCTATACTCGTTAAAATAATATATGTATTTTTTCTAATGACCCATTCCAAAAAGGTAGGTCCCACTGTTTACTCTTAAAAAATCCATATTCCTTTCTCTAGTCTTTTACAATGAACTAACCTGAGTGCCCTAAGCCTCTCCAACTTGGCAAGATGCACGGACACATAAACTGCTTTGCCCAACAACGGTACATGCGCCTTCAACATCACCTCCCTATATTTGGGATCCACATTCAACAGTAGCACCGTCAAGCAAGTCATCACACTGCATTTTAGTTCTTCAGGGACGTCTGCTACTAAAGGCACAGAGTATTAAGGATCTAATTAAAAAAAAAAGAAAGAAAAAGCCCAAAAATAAAAACAGCAAATAAAAAAAATACAACTTAGGAAAGAGATTGTAAAAAAGACAAGTCAACTAAAAAGTCTATAGAAATAAGGAATAACATTTTTTCACTGGCAGAAATTTAAAATTTCCAGATAGATTGTCAAAAAGGAAAATCTCCATTCCAAAACAAATTACAATTAATTTATAATTGCTCTGCAACACATTTCCATAAATACATAAAATGGCAATAACCAAGAAATTATAATAGTAGAATATCATAAATATTGATATTTAGATAACGCTTGTAGCTAATATAATCAATAACATGTTGATAATTATGATCAAGTGATCCGTTAACCCAAGTTGACAGATCTGTACAGAGATAATTTTATGCTGTTATTCATTCAACCTCGGGTCATTGAAACTGCAATGTTGCTGAGGAACTCACTACTTGTACAGATTGATGCACAATTGAGGTCAATTACGCTTGCTGTAGGGGGCAGGGGCTGAATACCAACCTCATCCCAATTAAAGTATGAAACTACAAAATGGGTATATTGTCAAAAACTAAGAATCTAGAAATTCTATTCAAAAATGTTTAAAATTGGATAATCAGTAGATTTAAAACAAACATTAAGTTATTTTGTCACAATCCCAAAGCATCTGGAAACCTATCTGAAGAAAATCAATAATCCGGACAATATTCAGGTTCATACCGAAATGTAAAAAAATATGCTTCATGAAACCTTACCCATTCCAGGTTTAGTGTGATCAAACACAATTTGCAGCAGCCCTATTTCCATCTTCATGCACATCTCGAAACTGTTCACCACCACCTTCTCCAACACAGTTCTCATACAGTCCACCAGCTTCCGTTGCAGTTCATGTTTCTTCCTAAATGGTATGAATTGCCAAATGTATTGATTTTCTTTTACGCTTATAGAGGGTGAGAAATAATGTAGACAACTCCCATTTTTTATTAGTAACAAAAAGGTTTCTTTTATAAAGTGTTAGTTTTTTTTTAACATACATAAAAATAAAACGATTCACATAAACATCTTAAAAGGTAATAGAAAACATGAATATGTGTTTTGATGTGCCCAGTAGAACAATGTAGGTGTAATGTGTTATTTCCTTCGGATATTTCCTTAATTATAGAACAAGCAAAAATATTTTTCAATAATTATTTCAATTCAGCCTATTACTTTGAAAATTAAAAGTAGGTAGGCATGATAATAAAAAAACATACTATTATTGTTATATAACTAAAATGAGCAATTTTCTTTTGTAAGGTACATCCTCAAGTTTTTATTTTCACATTTTAATTAGGACTTGCCTATACCCTATTATTTACTAGCTATTCTTGTGTGGGTTCACCCGTTCAGCATCATGTCTTTAAGCCTACCTCTGTAAATGTACTAACAAAGACAAAAAGATTTATTCAATTCGAACCAGTAATTCTGGAGATTAGCGCGTCCACACAAACAAACTGTTCAGCTCACTTTTATAATATTATAGTATAGATAAGCTTTAAAGTTTAGCTTCAAGCTGTTGGAGGTCTTCATAATTTCCAATATGGTACTTATATAGGACATTTCTTTCACTTCGCCATCAGATGAAAAGAATAGGTTTTTGTGTATTTAAACATTTTGTTATAGATGCTTTTCAAATAGAAATAACAATTATAACTAAAACCTAATAAAAAAAGTACTAACAAGAAAAGGGTGTGGTCATTTCATATTTCTATAACTATATTTATGTTTTACTGTAATTTTATTAGTTTCTACTTATTAGATTCTCGTAAGCAAATCATTTCTTAAAGTGCTCTACTAAGAATCCAATAAGTCTACAAGCTATACCTTTTATAAATTTAAGTAGTTAAAAAAAATATGAAGCGCATAATGCCTCGTTATTTTCAATTAAGACTATTTTCAGTTAGAAAGACTAGAGAAAAATATAATGGATATTTTACACTAAATTCCACCGCTAGAATAATAAAATTATACAGGTCGCAATGCAATCTATGCAGCAAATAGATAATTTTTTTTTCCTACCACAAGTTTCAGTTTGAAAAGTGATTGAAGAGAAAATTTCATTTTATTTATTAAAATTTTACATAAGAAAATTTAGATTTAATTAATTATACTCTTTAAATTGAAATATAAAAAATAGAAATTTCTCCCTATGACTACACCATTAAGTATTAAAATAAAAAAAAATCTTGTTGTAAAGGCAAAGATAAAATGATGATCATGATGATGATGAAACTAAACTAAATTAATACTATTTTTTATATGATATAAAAAGGTTTCTTACTCAGTTTCAGTGGACTTCAAGTGAGTGATGAGTGGGAATAACAAGTACTGCTGAAGCTCCTGGATCACTTCTTTCTTCAATTCTGCAACGCGCCTAAGATACGCAGCAATGCTATCTTCGGTCGGGCACACCATGAGAACATCGCATACTGGTTTGATGCGCGAAAACGCATCCTTCAAGTCGGCGTTCATCTTGTTCTCATAGTGCAGTATGCACCGATCGATTCAACCCACACCTTCCTTCTTACCGGCAAATTGCAGATTACCAAACAGGAGCAAATTACAACAAAAGTTCGCTTTGATATTGGTTAAAAACAGCGAATCTTTACTTGGTTGCCTTAAACTATAAGTTAAATCTTGGAATAAAATCTAATTTAATCTGCTACGTCCATCCTCAGACGTGACTCGCCCCTTTTTGATTGATTCCAGATTTATTGATTAATTGAAAATTGAAAAATGAGGAGGGTGAGAGAAAACCGGGAATACACTACTGACATTACAATTCGACTAAGCTGAGATCTTACAGCTTCCTTAGAAACTATGTAGCCGATTAAATCGACTAAGATAGGATAACACATGTGATATTTTTACGAGTCCCTAAATATTATACTTATAATACGACAAAAGTAACAATTATGAATCTGAAAAATCCAAATAACGTCATTTTAAAACAAAACAATCCAATCTAGCTGAGTCAAATCGACTATTACAATTTGGTCTAGCTAAGTAGTAAAAAGTCTATGATGTAAGCAAAGACTAGATTTTACGAATCCTCCAATGAAAGGCCAGGCTGAAATTACGCCAATCAAGGTACGGGTACGGGGTAGGGTACCTATAATTAAGTACTATAGTAGTGGAGTAGCCATTTTGTGGTGGGTGGCCAGACAGACAATCATACATAATACATATTGTACATATGTATACTTACAATTTACATTTATTTATGTTCAAACGGGAATGCTGGTTTAGACCCATTTCATTACTAGTAGTAGTTATAGTACTAATAGGTATTTCATATACTAATGTAATGTAATGTAATGGGTACCAATTTTCCTTTTTGTCTTTAACAGTCCCATCTGAAATATATCGTGGGTACTGGGACCTAGTAGAGTATGTGTGTAGACATAGCAGAAATGATGACTAATTTTCCTCTACTTGTGTCGTTTACTTTCTTTTGGCTAGAAAACTACTAGAAAGTCAATGATGATGATTTTGATCCATATTTTTTGGGGCACCTTTACATACTATAGTTCTAGATGTTTTATAAAGGTTGTTTTCGTTTCGATTGATGCATACTATTTTTTTAGTTGATTAAATACAGTTATATAAATTTAGAAGTGTATAAGCAGATTTTATTAAATTTTTTATCGTTTCAATTATTCTTTCATTGATTAAATATCTCAGAAACATGATAATTTGTTTCGAGTGGCTTTTTTAGTTATATAATAAAATAAATTTATGTGATAAAAAAATAAACAGAAATAAAACGACACATCAAAATAGTTTTTAGTAATGAGGTTAATATTATGTTTTGTAAATTTATCAATTTATGAACGAAACGCTGGGCTTGTCAAAATTCAAAAGAGGAATTGTCAAAGTCAGGTGTTATAATGTTAATTGCTCTATGTCAAACTGAATGGGAACGAAAATGCGATTTAAATAATTCAATTACTTTAGATTTAATAATGTTTTTATGATTTATTAAGTGTGGGAAATATTACAAGATGTTCACTTTAATGGGAGAGCGAGTCTTACATAAGTGCCTCAAGATTTTGAGGTTAACTGTGGCAGATTTCAGCAACTTGCCTGATATAAAGAAATTAAATGCAGTTAGGACCGTGGAAAAGATAATAGACAACAATACAAGCATCTTTATCGAGAGTCCTATACATGTTAAGATTCAGCCGATTGATGTGGATGACCTAAAAGCTCACAACAAACTGACCATGACATTGTACAGCCAAGGCAAAGAAACCAGCGACTTTCAAGTGAAACAGACATCCAAGCGATTGGAATTACTTAACAAGAATACCGCGTCCGATAGGAACGACGTCTGCGTAATTCAGGTACCATACAATCTAAAAGTCCAGGTTACAACAACAGATTATGCATCAGTGCATCTAGCCAAATTGGAAGGACAAGAGTTTGTAGTTAAAACGCAAAAAGGAACAGTAAATGTTTCTGATCTGAAAGCAGAGAATATTGTTGTGGAGAGCATTGAAGGTGAAGTGAAATCTGATGGGAGATTACAAGCCGGCAACATTGATTTGAAAACCGGCCTCAACTCTGGCATTACATGTAACAATATCATGGCCAATGGTTTCAATGTAACAACACATGCTGGTTCTATTGTTGTAAGGTCTTGTTACAGTGACAAGTCACATTTCACCACATTGATGGGCAACTTGAAGCTAGACAGCCTGCACAGATCTGTAATGATTGATGTTATACAGAAAGGTAATCTGCACATCACAGGCTTCTCAGGCAACTTGCAGGCTTCCTTGAAGAGTGGGGATGTGTACATGCATGCTTCACAGTTTACAGACAAGAGCAGTATTTTCATACATGAGAAAGGAAAAGTTCAGCTTCTGATACCAGATATATTGAAGAATTTACCTGCTACCAACTTGATAGCAGAAAAAATATTAGTTGATGAAAAGATATTGAAGCTAGGCCGATTTATGGATGACTCATATCCAAAGAGGTTCCGCTTTGAGAAAGAACCGCACCATGAGTTGCATGTAGTTTGTAAGAATGGCTCAATTGAGTTGAAGGAAACTGACTTACCATTTTTTCTGTAGACAATCTGTTTGATATGAAACATGTACATTAGAGTATATATGAGTTTATATTGTGGATCTTCATGAAAGTGTTAGTTACTTTTTTAAAGAAGTTAATGTTACTTTATTAAATGTATTTTTAATATTGTGATGTGTTGGTCATTTGGTGATAATAATATATTTAAATAGCAATCATATAGAATTAGATTTCATTTCTGTAACTTTAGTTATATTGTTTGTGCTTTGTATTATTTTCTTCAAATATAATATATGGGTGTGCATTTATGTAACTTCAATGTGTAATGTGTGTCTAACATTATCATTGTAATGTCTTCCATGAACCACTCATGAATTAGTTAGGATCCATCTTTAATTCTCTAAAATTTGGAACATAAGTAATGGTAATCAATATTTTTAATTTTTAAATAGTAATGTAATAATAAATATAATGTTTGAGTACTGCCAAAGTAACATATTTTATGTAATACAATTTATACTGTATTTAAACACATTCATGCATTTACATCTAGCATTTGAAGTTTGTTAGTTTAAACTATATTGCACAGTGATAAATACATTAGATGATTTATTTTTGTAGTTCCTCTATAAGACATTAGTGTACATGCTTTTAATGTCTCAACACTGCTAGTCCTTTTTCATTTCTTAGAGTAAATAAAATATTCTTATTTAGGACTTCAAAATGTAAGTAGTTATTCAATATTGTTATTTATTCAGGTAGTGAATTGTTGAAAAGACCATTAAAATAAAGTATGAATCATTTTATATTTATGTATTATTTTAACTGTCCTTCAATCCTTGGGCAATTACAAAAATGAACACATTAGCTTAACTTAGTAAATCACTTTAAACCCTCAATTATTAATTAGCCACAATTATGTATTACCCAGTATGTTTACTTTTTAACTAGGTAATCGTTAATTGGGTGCAAAGATGATGGGTTGTGTAGAGCGGGGCGCCGCCGCCTTAATGATAACGCGCCCATTTATATGCGAAGCCAGTGCGCGCACACTCCAGTCTTACTTGACAACCGCACCCGCAATGCCGGCTTGTGCGCCCGAGTACAGCCGCCTCGCGCGCTCTAACACAGAGTTAGTATTCTCACCGCGAGTTAAACGATGCTCTCATCAGCCACCGCCTTTTACGGCTCTCAGAAGATCCTTCTCCTCCACCTTCTCGTTAATACCAGAGGAACGCGCTATATCTCCTGAGCGTCCACCTCCGCTGCCGCGATTCATCAGGATCATCACATGGGGACCACGGCTTATGCTACGACCTCTCTTCGCCATATTAAGCCTCATCGCTCACCCAGCTTGGAAACAAATTCTGGTCGTTCTACCTACGTTATGGATCGCCGGCTCCTTGTTCTTGTTCTGGAAGTGTGTGCAGTGCCCTATTGGAGTTCTCAAAATGATTGGACGTGCCATAAATTCAAAAAACCAGAAGAAACCGCGAACCGTACTTATTAGTGGAGGCAGTTCTGTACAAGCTCTGCATTTAGCCAGAAATTTCCATTCGGCCGGGGCAAGAGTTGTGGCATTTGAAATAGAAGGGCAATTTGCATTGTTAAAATACTCAGCCGCAGTTCATAAATTTTATACAGTGCCACGGCCTAATCCCGCTGATCCTTTAGCTTATGCGCGAGCACTAAGGGAAATAGTTGAAAGGGAATCGGTGGTATTTTATGTGCCAGTGAGCTCGACTACGCCGGCTTATTACGATGCGCTTGCAAAGTCACATCTCGAAGTACTTGGATGCCAGTGCTTTGTGCCTTGCGCTCGCGATGTTGTTACATTGGATGACCCTTTGGAGTTGATGAGGGTGTGTCGCGCTGCAGGACTAGCGACACCTCAATTCTGGGTGGTGGCCAACGACGAAGATGTTCGTGCGTGGTACGATAGCGGTGCTTCTAAAGAGGGAAGACATTTCATTGCTAGTGCGGGTGCGCGAGGAGCTAGAGACCGGCTACGTTTTGTCATGCCAGAAGAGAAGGCTCAATTTAGATTTCCACGAGAAATCAGTGCGGAGAAGCCATGGGTTATCGTTCGGGAACCAAAAGGAGAAAGGATTGTGACGTGTACAACTTTGAAAGAATCCCGTGCTGTCAACAATGTGTCGTGCCGAGTGGATTCTGCAAGAAAAGGACTTGTACCTCAAAAGGATGAAGAAGCTGACGCATGGGTGCAGCGATTTGTATCATTTCTGGCCCCAGCCAGGCCGATGACTGGCCATGTTTCATTTAGACTAGTTCGTGAAGAACAAACTACAAATGGTCATAACAATAAATTGGTAGCTATTGGTGCTCGCGTTGGAGTATCTCTGCCGTATTTGTGCCAGGGAACGGCACGTTGTGGTCATACTGCGACCGTGGGCAAGCTACTGGATACTGTACTGGATACTCGTGAAGCCTTATTCACATTTTGGGATCCACTACCCTACTGCGCGTATTACCAGTCGCGCACGCCAGACGACCGGAGGCCGCCGCCCCCGGAGCCATGCAAGACGCCACCAAATGTTCCTCTTTGAAAAACAGTGTAGTGACGTCGTAGGAATTATTTATTAAAGACACTCAAGTACCTGAAGAGTGCGTGAGTGGGAGCTCTCTCGGCGTGTGCCATAGTTAAGTCGCGCTCTCTGTGTGTTGTTTACTCGTCCCGCTTGGTCCAAGTGTGTGATTGAGGAACGATACGATATGTTGTAACTACTAAGTAGATATTATTAAGTAAATGTGTACCTACAAAATGTAATGTTATGCCTACATTATTGTTAGGTTTAAGGAATAAAATTATATCATATTATTTAAACCTTTGTTTATTTTTTTACACAGGCTTTCCTCATACAAATAGCGCACCTATCTATCTAGACAGGTACCAACTACAAAACCTATATACCCGAATAATATGTAGTAACTACTACATATATTTCAAGGCGTCATTACCAAATAGGTACTGAATTTCTCTAATGACTTATAAATGTTACTACTAGTGTTGTACCTAGTCGTGCAGAGTATTTGTTATGAACATTTTTATCACTAAACAAGCAAGACGATAAAACTTATTTTTCCACAAGAACTGTTGGGAAAAGTGTGATCTATGGCCGGCCGGCCCCGGTGACCCGGACGAGATAAGTACTATCTCTTCAAGTGCACTACAATTTATAATAATAACCGATAGGTAGTACCTACACAAAACTGGTAACTGGACAAACACCGTCCTGAAGTTGAGGGTAAGTAGACAATTAGGCAGGTGGGCAAAATACTGAATAAAGCGAATATAAAAATTACGTAAGAAGTTTTGCCTTTCACGAGGTTAAAACAAAGAAGCCCCTACCTAATTACCCAATTGTTTACAAAAATAAGTCTCACCGTTATATCCTTCAACGGGTCAGTGATGTAAACTTGAACTGTTACTTAACAGCTGACCTCATAACTATGTGAGACAACACTAGGTAGCTAGCTATAGGTAACTATTCAGCGACAACCTTGTGCTAATGGCAGCGTAGAGGGCAGCACATAAAGCGGTAGGTGCCTCTATCGAAATTCTTTCATAAGTTTTCAACTTTATTTCAATATAGTAAGATTGAAAATGTATCTATTATAAAAGTTTATGCAAATGGGGATGTAACAAAGGGTAACGTCCCTCGTTTCCAGGTTATAGGCAAGAGTAACTACACTGATATGGTAAATGATTACCTACAGACTATAAGCAAAAACTCCGATATTTATCCAGTCAATATTCTATTGATATGATTCTTTGCGTTATCAGAAGCCGAGGTGCGGTCACCTCGGAGAACAAACTCTACCGAGAGTCAACGGACATACCTAATAGGTAGGCGTCATTTTGTTTGTAAATAAAAAATGTTACATTAGCGAATTTATGAATTAATAATTCTTTTAGAATTATTTATTGACTCACGTTTAAGGTTGTACCTAGTGAAATTTAAAACTAACAATGAATTTTTTTTTCGCTATATGTAGATACCTGTTTACCTATATGTAGATAGATATGGACGGATGTCTGTTGTTTATTTTTTGTTACAATCATGTCATTATGTCCCACGGCCTTAGGTTACTGCCTTGAACATGCCTTTCAGTTTTACTATACCTACCGAAGTTAATGTTAATATTGTTAAATTTTTTTAAATTCATCTTTCTGATTTTGGTTTGGCTACAATACTTAGTAGATATCTAGATTATAGAATCTACTAACTTATGTTAGATAAAGAAAGGGGACTGTGTGTTTGCATAGATTAGGCTCAGAAACTGCTGAACCAATTTGAAAATTTCATTCCTATCACGGTATACAGGATCGTGATCTACTTGAGAGGGACCTTTTAATTCAATGAGACAAAGTTGTGGGCAGAAAGGTAGTATTTTATATTGAAGGTATGCACTTACATAAATATATACACCTATAACTATGTTTCACTCGATAAATGAGTTGTTTGTGAATGCGGAACTAGACTTATTATTTTGAACTCTTGACATTAATTAAATTAACAAACATATAAAATAGCATTAAACATATAAGTAAGTACATAATTACATATTTTCAATATGAGCATCACTTTTACCGAGAGCCCTTCAAAGTTATTTTGCCTATATGCATCAACTTACCTAAAAGGAAATCTCTTTAGCAAAATTGATTAAAAATACTTCCGAACACTTTTTGTTGTGTCGTAGTGAGATGCTTTCATTTATCCGAACATTTGAATGTCTTCCTCTTAAATAAAAATAGCATGAAGTAAGTATACGACATCGGTTTTGGGTTCGTTATTAAAATAAAAGTAGCGAGGTTGCATTATTATTATTTCTGAAACGAACAAAGCATTTTTCATTCGTTTTTGTCGTATTCTATATCGGTCAGAAGTTTACAATCTTATTAAACATTTGTTTAGGTATACTTTCAATATTTACTTAGATGCTGCAGATGTTAATTGATCAGCATTCATGGACCCAGAGGTTTGAGTGCATATTGAAGGCTTTTAAAAAGGGCTTTGTATGAACCTGCTGTAACTTCACACACACGGTAGAACACAACCCAAAAGTTGTTTCGCTTCGGTCTTCTGTGAAGTCGTTCTATAACTCCGCTCAAGGCAGATCATTCGTGCCGAAGCATGGCTCTCTCGCGTGTAACCGTGTAACAAACTCATTCTCCAACTTTGACTTATGGTCGACCATAATGTTGTAATGACTACGTGATCAAAAAGGCTTACA